GGATTCATATCTTTGCTGAGGAAGAATGAAGTTAAAGAGCTAGTTGATCCTTCTATAGGTGATGAGTACGATTTCAGGCAGATGAATCTTGTGTTGTTGGCGGCTTATATATGCATACAATAGTCTTCCATTCGGCGGCCTCAAATGAGTTAGGTAGACTGTACAGATTCAGTAACAACTGAAATAGTAAACATAGAACATATAGATAAGATAATAAAATTGATTCCATCTGCTTCAATACATGACTTTGCAAGTTGTGCAACTTCTGAATGGAAATTTTTGCTGCTTGAAATTCATGAAAAAATGTCGATCTCCATTGGTAAGAAGAACTCTCCACCAAGAGCTATCAAATGTAGAAGATTACAACTCAACTAAAATGAATAGCTTTATTAAGAATCGAAATTGACGTTTTGCAGATTAATAGTAGTGACATGTCTTACTCCAAATGCATCTTAATACATAAATACTTGATGCCAGAGGACAACTACGAGTAGCGTACAAAAATATAGAAGAAAAAAAAGCTAAAGTTTTACCTTAATCTGAAGTGAATGGACAGAGAGCAGCAAGAGCAGATGAAGATCGTGAGAAGGGAAGAAAGAAAATGAGTTTTTTTTGGTCCTAATCTGAAGTATTTATATGTGGCAGGTAAATTACAATAACCCCCCCACTCTTTAATAACATTTTTTTTAGTCCCGGTTTTAGGTTTCGGTTCCGGTTCTTGACTATAGGAACCGGAACCGGAACCGTACAGTGTCGGTTCCAGATTTTTGGAACCAGAACCTACCCGTTGATGATCGGTTCTGGGTATGAACTAGAACCAAACACTGGGTACCCAACGGTTCCGGTTCTGAACGGTTCTTTTGAACACCCCTAGTCCCAATCATTTGGGATAAGGAATCCCACAGGTAGCATTGTTGGGACTTGGTTATTTTTTTATTCCTTCTATTCACAAGAGGCAGAAGGAGGGGTATTTCGGTGAGTTCAGATAAAGGATGTGGTCATTCTCATTCCTGTGTAAAAAAAAAAAAAAAAAAAAAACAGGGTTATATATAAACTTGGCAAAACCGACAGGTGGGTTGGGTATAGACCGGGCTCAATGGGTAAGGTTCAAAAAGGGTCCAAAATATTAGACTCGAACCTACTCGTTTACTGTTCATTGGCAAGGAATATTCTAATGGAAAACAAGTACTAAGTTTTCAAAAGAATGGAGAAACCTCACATACAAAAATGAGAAAAATAGACAATTACATGGAAAGAACAAACACGAGTTGGAAAACTCCAGGCTGACTGGCTGAGGGAAGTGATGTAATGGATTGAAAAAAGCCAAAATCTTAAAGAGAAGCCTTTAAATTTCTTGCAGCTTCAATTCAAGGTAAAATATTTTTAAATAAATAAACATTGTAACAGTTTATGATATTTACAAGAAAAATTAACTAGAATATTTACAAGGAAAGGCCATTGGATCACAAACACAGTGCACCGAATTCACATACAAAGCAATGGGTTTTTTCCTCATCCTCAATCCATTTCTTTCTCATTGGAAGAACCATTATTCAACAATACCAACTATTGTACTACTAAAAACACCAATACTAGCAACTTCTTTCGACCTAATTCCAAATCTATCACATACTAAGTTATATGGCATCAAAGAGAAACCCCAAAAAAAGCCAACCCAGATCAATATTAAGCACCAAAATAGATAGAACTGTGTTACTTTGAGCTTCAAATTGAGCATGTGATGAAAATGATCAAGCTTTACAGGGCTTGTGAGAGTGTTGAGAGCTTCGTGGAGGGTGATTTTCAGAGGAAAATTGAGAGAGAAACTGTGGGAATCTAAGAGAAAGTGACGACCGGAAATGATATTAAAACATCTCTAAATGACTCTTTATATGACTCAAACTCTTTATTATAAAGAGTCTATCCATAAAAACAAGAGTCTAACAGACTCTTTATTCTTTAAATATAAATTAAAGAGTGAGTTTCATTCTCTATATCTAGAGAGTCAAATTTTACTCTCTATTCTAATTTTAATTAATAAACTATAAGTTTCTATGTACTTTATTTATTAATTCTCTTTCTTGAAAATAAAGAGCATCTTTATTAAATTTAAAGAGTCTATTGGATTTGAATAAAAATTTTGTTCTTTATATTTAGAAATTAATAAAGATGCTATTTCTTTATATGAAAAATGCTCTTTAAAATAAAGAGTACCATTGGAGATGCTCTTAGGAAATTAGGGTTATTCATATATATATTTTTTAATTTATACGAGTACTCGCGGTTATACCCGATCCACCGACCAAAAAGGGTCAAGCCGAGTACGGGTCAAGAAAAAGGATTCATAATGAGAGACTCGTACCCTAGGTGTGTTTATTTAGGCTGCATTTGTTTCAAAATTTTCCCCATATCATATCCAAAATACACATTTGTTTGCTTATTCTAAATATATTATTCTATTTTATTTAATTATTTTTAAACCCCCTAGGTTTGTTAATTTAACTAAACACTCTAAAAAAAAATTTAGAAATTGACAAAAACACCCCACCAACCCACATTTGCCAGATTCCGGCCACCACCACCGGAAGGTGGCCGGAATCTAGTATAATGGTGTACTACTTACTAGATCTAGTCGGTAGTGCCTCGATATAGACTTTTCCGACCAGATCCACCATGGATCTGGCTGGAAAATGCCAGATCTATGGCCAAAGACGACCAAGATATGGGTCGTCGTTGATGACCAAATGTGACCAGATTTGGCCGTCAATGGCCAGATCTAGTCGTAGATTTGACCTTTTCCGATCTGGCCGAAAAAGGCCATATTGGCGCACGACCGGCGAGATCCAGCCGGTCGTGCGCCAATACAATGACTCCGGCCACCCTCCGGCGGTGGTGGTTGGCTATCGATATTTAATGGGTGGGTGGGGGTGTTTTTGTTAATTTTTAATGTTTTATTACAGAGGTGTTTAGTAAATTAACAAATCTATGGGGTATTTTTGTTAATTTTCAAATCCAACCTCTTAATAACCACCCAATTTTACTTTTTTCAAAATATTATTTTAAAAAGTATCAGAATAATGAACCAAACGCAGCAAGTTATTCATACCCTATCCTACCAAAAATACATATTTGTTTCCTTATTTTGAAAATCCAATTCTATTCTATTCAAATTTTTTAAACCCCCTAGGTTTATTAATTTAATTAAACACCCCTAACAAAAAAAAAAAAAAAAAAAAAAGTTTAGAAATTGACAAAAACAACTCTACCCACCCACATTTGCTAGATTTCGGCCATCACCGTCGGAAGGTGGCCGAAATCTTGCGTAATGGCGCACTACCGGTTGGATCTGGCCAGTAGTGCACTGATCTATCCTTTTTTTACCAGATCCACCATGGATTTAACCAGAAAATGTTAGATCTATGGCCAAAGATCTGGCATCAGATCTTTGGCCATAGCTGTTTGTCAACGATGGCCATATCTTTGGCCGTCGTTGATGACCAAATGTGGCTAGATCTGGTCGTCAATGGCCAGATCTAGCCGTAGATCTGTCCTTTCCGGCTAGATCCACGATGGATCTGGCTAGAAAAGGTTATATCGGCCTACGACTGGCTAGATTAAACTGGTCGTGCGCCATTACGGTGACTTTTAGCCACCCTTCGATGGTGGTGGCCGGCTGTTGGCATTTAATGGGTGGATGAGGGGTGTTTTTGTTAATTTTTAATGTTTTGTTATAGGAGTGTTTAGTAAATTAATAAATCTAAAGAAATATTTTTGTTAATTTTTAAATCTTATCTCGTAATAACCACTTAACTCAACTTTTTCAAAAAGTTTATCCAAAATAATAAAACAAACACACTGGGTACAGGTACGGATCTACCCCATCGGGTAATTACCTGTTCAGTAATGCTACGGGTACACCATTTTTTTACTTCATTCTCTTACACCATGACATGGCAGATGACATGACAGTGCCACCTCATCTACCACATCACCCAACTGCCACGTCACTTACCCCTACGTTTTAAAAAAAAAAAATTGCAAACTCCTAAATTTCAAATTTCCCATTTGCGCTAAAACCCACATCCCAAATCGATTTCAGTTTATTATAAAACAGAAACCCAAAAATTCTTCCACACTTTCCTTTCAATTTTTGAAACCCTAGCCACCACAATCTCCAACCTCAGCTCGTCCCCACGGCGACCACCACAGCCGCACCAGTTTGCTGCCATCTAACTCTATTATCTGGCGATTAAGAGTCACTGGTAGGTTACTGTAACCATAACTCATCTCTCTTGCGCGATCCCAGTGGCATCTCTCGGCTTATCCAAATTCCCTTCATTTTCACAGATTATTACTTTTTAAAGCTGAAGTTGTTTATCCTTTTGTTTTGCTCTTCGGAAACAGTGATTACACTAAAAATAATTGTTAATGATTTATTCTGATGAGTGCCAGATTGCTGCTATGCATTGGTGAGTTGCATTGTTAATGATTTATATATGTTTATACATCATATGCTCAGTAGAAATTCCAGTTCTGGTACCTGAATGCTACGTGGTCATTTTTTGGGCATTTTATATATTTTAGCATCAAAAGAATGAAATTTCCATTTAATAGAGCAGTTTCGGAGAAGTGGACAAAATTAAAAGGATTGAAGTTGCATCATTGTTTGAATCCCCTATATTTTGTTCTTTATGCATGGATGCATTTGTTTTTAACATTTTATAGGCAATCCGTTTATTTTGAAAAATTTTTCAAAAAATGTCATACATTTTGTTTAGTTTGAAATTTTATAAAAAAAGGTTATACATTTTTTCATGTTGGATGAAGATTCTCCCCTTCGCTGTAGTACTATGCTGCTGGTCAAGCTTTGATGTTTTGTTTTATTTTCCTTTTTGGTAATATTTATTTGTTATAAATCTGCTTCTTTTTCCCTTATTTTCAGCTATTGCATACCTCAACTGCCGGTAACTTTTCGAGGAGGATGTGATTTGGTCTTGTAGATGAGATGGACTGGATAAAAACGGAATGGTGAACTTCAAGGAATTTCTGTTTGCATTCACTACAGAGCTGTATATATCTGTGTGTATTACATTATCTCTAATTGTTGTGTCGTTACCATGTTCCTCTGACATAACTGCCAATTTAGCAAGGTACAATTGGTTTGGCTACGGATGAATATCTGTTTGGTGTTGTTCTTGGAGGAGTTGTGTAAGTGGCCTCGTGATTGTGTTCCTTTTTTTGAGGTGATGTGCATATTACACACAGCTGTGGCTTCATCACCACTGTCAAGGCCAGTTGGTAAGATATTCTTTGGTGATACAATGGGGAATTAAGATGCAATGATGGAATAGTAATATATACACATTTTTGGAAGGTTTTTGGCCTGAATATCTGACTGGAAATGTTAACAAACTCAGTTTGCATGTTTTTTTTTTTACCCTATATTATCTAATTATTATGGATTCAGTAGCTTGGATGATAATGTGGTTTTTTCCTGCATTTGGTTTTATTTTCCGTTGAGAGATTTCCATACATTTGGTTTAGTATTAATGTATTATAGCCTCTCCCTCTATCTATGAATTATGTGCGTTTACTTGATGGGGCGTAAAACTTTAAACTTGTTACAAGCATCATGATTTTGCAGTATGTTTAACAAGATGTACTTGCAGTTTGGTCTTGCCTTTTTTATGTACATGGTAAAGATATACAGATAACTTGTTCTGTTGATTCATTATTGGAGCGTCAGTAATCAACATCTTCTTCTTGTATATGTGTGCCATTTTTTATTTTTTGGTTTTTTTGGTTTTGTCGATCTGAAAATTGAGTTGTTAAAGAATACGATGTCATAATTCGTAAATTTGTAGGGTCATTTGCTAGCATTGTTGATAATTTTAGTTGTAGTTCTGTTACTGAAATTGAAATGCACATTAAGTGATTGGTTTTTGTAAACGAAGTTTAGGGTTTAGGGTTTGGATGTAGGCTGGTTTCTGCATAAGGCTTGTCAATGTGTTAATTTAATTACATATGTTCTGCAGGTTGGACGGGGAACATGTTGTATTGGATAAGGTCATTCAAGGCATGGACACTGTGTATGCATTATGCAATTGAAGGCGGAGCTGGAACATACAGCGGAAAACCAAGAAGAAAGGTCACAATTGCTAACTCAGGAGAGAAACCCAAGAGCAAGTGGGATGAGGAAAGATGAGCCTCCTTCGGACAGTTTTAGATAATTGATTCACCTTTTTTTTTCTCATTGTATTATGTTCATGAAATTTAATAAAATCTTGACTAAGATCCAACAGTAATAGGTGCCTCTTGGAAATACTTTATTTGGCCTTTTGTATCCAATAACTGTTCTTATTCTATTTAATGAGCTTGACTAAGCTTAGTTATTGCGTTTCTTCTCTGGCTGCACTTGTTTTCGGTGGTGATGTTGAGGGGAGTTTGCTGGAAGTTTGGTGGTGTGGTGCTGGGGCTTTTTCTGCAGATTTTTGTTGCTGCAGTGTTGCATTTGTGCTGGAAAATTAAAAAATTCCATGAAAAATGCAGTTTATGCAGTTTTTTTTCCCTTCTCTGTTGTTTCATCAAGATTGGAAAACTGCATGAAAAATGCAGTTCATGTAGTTTAGTGGAACAAAAGATATGATGTTCATCCAATTATGTCTTGGACAATTACAAATTGTTAACTTTTTTGTCATAACAATGAAAATGAAAAATACATCCAACAGGGCATTTCCATTAAATAGTAGAAGGAGAATGTTGCATATAAAGAAAATATATTTAATTAAATTATACAGAACTTGTACAGAACATGTGTCTTAACTATGTTTTTGAATGAGTTGGGTTATGAAAACTTGTACACAAGCGACATTACAACATGAAGAGTGTGAAGTGATGAACTGGCTGTTTTTGATCAGTTTATTTTTACTGCCCCTTTTCTCCAAATTGCAATTACTCTTGCTTGCATCCTCCTATCGAGTACCGACAGCGACCTCCAATAGTTTCGCATGCTGAATATCTACAACACGGGGAGAACATAATAATTAATGAACCAATTTAATTATGTTATATGGTTTGCTGGTGGACCTTACCATTCAGGTTAATCATGAAAATAAAATATAAAAGAAATTTGAAAGAGGCAATGAAGGAAAGGGAAAGTCACCTTGTTGCTGCAATGGTGCCATGACTAAGTTCTTTAGTTTGTTCTCTTCTGATCAGATTCAACACTCAGAACCTGCAGCCACGCCCCAAATATCAACCAAAAAATGTGAAAGAAAGACATATTAACACCATTAACAAAGTTCCCAGTTCAAGATAAAAATATCAAGCCAAATATAGAGACGATACCTTGTTCTTAGTGGTTATCCAGCAATTAGTTCCCTTATTATGCAAAGACTTTAGTCTTACTATATTTTGGATGCCTAAGAACACAAAAGAACATTTAACATATAATTAACAGTTAACTAGCACATATTTACAATGACATATGCAACTAAGCACAAACGAAATATCATTAGAAATACTCTCCAAATACTACATTTTTATACAAAGATGGGATTATTTTGGGCACTAAAGTTTGATGAAGCTTAATTTTCATATTCCATACCCAAAACCATTGAATCATACATTACTTTTCTTCTGATCAGAAAAACAGTCAAACTTTCTTATGTTCTAAAAGTTCCCCAGCATCAAAATAAAGTTATGCAAGTAAAATACTATAGAATCAGCTTCAAAATCAAATATATAGCAGTACAAACAATACTTTTTAAAGTTCCCAAGATAAAAAATACCTTATATTTAGTGTCAATTATTTTTAGAGTTAACAATTGAGTGATCCGTTTTCGAATAATCTGCATCAAACAAACAAAGACAAATTTAACATGAAACGCATACACAATCAAACACTTGCATCAGTGAAAATGAAGGGAGAAATCTAAAGATTACCAGATTCACGGTCTCATGGGATTAAAATAAATACTCCCAAAATGACAGCTAAAATAAGTGCTCCTCAACTGAAACCAAATCTCAAATCCGCTACTTTCTCTGTTTCAACATATTCAAAATATTAAAAAAAAAATAAAAAAAAAATTAAATGGAGCTGATTTCAGTTATTTGTACATCACTTTTACTTTACTTTCTTTGCCCTTTCCTTAATGTCAACATTTTAAATAAAAGAATTGAAAAACATTTAAATCACTGTTTCCAAAGAGCAAAACAAAAGGATAAACAACTTCAGCTTTAAAAAGTAATAACCTGTGAAAATGAAGGGAATTTGGATAAGCCGAGAGATGCCACTGGGATCGCGCAGGGGAGATGAGTTATGGTTACAGTAACCTACCAGTGACTCTTAACCGCCAGATAATAGCGTTAGATGGTAGCAAACTGGTGCGGTTGTGGTGGTCGCCGTGGGGACGGGCTGAGGTTGGAAATTGTGGTGGTTAGGGTTTCAAAAATTGAAAGGAAATTGTGGAAGAATTTTAGGGTCTTTGTTTTAGAATAAACTGAAATTGATTTGGGATGTGGGTTTTAGCGCAAATGGGAAATTTGAAATTTAGGAGTTTGCAAATTTTTTTTTTGAAAAAAAAAAACGTAAGGGTAAGTGACGTGGCCGTTGGGTGTCGTGGCAAATGAGGTGGCACTGCTATGTCATCTGCCACATCATGTGTAAGAATGAAGTAAAAAAATAGTGTAATAGTAGCATTACTGAATTGCAACAATAAAGCTACTTGCACTAACCTAAGGTGTACAAATTCAATACTAACTCGCGTGTCAATTCCCTCCAAAGCCTTAAAAAAAAAAAAAAAAAAAATTTCAAAATGAATAAACTCTTTCAAACTAAAAACAGAAACCCGCCACTTGAAACTAAAAACAGAAACCCGCCATTGACCAGCAGTGTATCCTCTACCACCACCACTGTGGCCTGTCATCTTCCACCACTAGCGTCAGCCGTCGTCGTCCACCACTAGCGTCAGCCGTCGTCGTCCACCACTAGCGTCAGCCGCCGTCGTCCACCACCAGCGCCGACCATCATCTTCCGCCAGCACCCGTCATTTTCATCTGCTGAATTTATAAAAAAATTGCTCTCAAAATAGAAACCCATAAGATTGAACCATCTTTTGCTTCATGGTATTATTTCTATAGCTTTAAAACATCATCTAAGAACAATATAGGAGCTTGAGAGTCATGATAAAATGCTATAAATAAAATGTTGTACTTGTTAACATCCGTTGCTTATGTTGTGGTTTGACAATTGTTAGACTATTTCATTGCAAAATAGTTTATTTGTCAATTTATTTCTTTTTATTGCAGGTTGTGCTTTTTTGAACTTGGTCTTGGTGTTTTATCAAAGTTCCAAAGATGGAAGAGTGTAGTGAAAAAAATCCAGACAACTCTTCTTCTCATTTCAATGTTGTGGAGGTAATATTTTGTTGGTAATCTCTTTTTATTCATTAATATGATTTTAAATTTTTTATGGTATTGTTCCTATCCTTTTTGTTGTATTATTATATTTTAATTATGGCTATTATAATATCAATAAATTAGGATAATCATTTTGAAGAAATGGAAGATACAAGAAGTGCAGAGGAGGAATGGGAGCCTAAGCCTGGAATGATTTTTGATTCGCTTGATAATCTTGTCCAACACTACAAAAGCTATGGGAATAAAATGGGTTTCGAAGTTATTATACGATCTTCAAAGAAAGGATATGATGGAGAGGTGACAAACGCGACACTAGCTTGTTCTTGTATTGGGAAGTCACGCAGTAACCCCGTAAATGCTTTTAAAATGCATCCAGTAACAAAAACTGATTGTAAGGCTCGAATTGGTGCAGCTGTACGTTCTGATGGCAAATGGAAAATATGTTCAGTTGTGTTTGATCATAACCATGAACTCAGTAGTCCTACCAAAAGTAGATATTTCAGAAGCAATCGAATTATACAACCATATGTAAAAAGAAAGCTTGAAGTGAATGATAGGGCTGGGATTAGGCCAAATAAAAATTTCAATTCCATGTTAGTTGAAGCAGGCGGTGCTGAGAATTTGCCTTTCCTACAGAAAGATTGTAGGAACTACATTGAAAAAGTTAGGAGGTTACGACTTGGTGTTGGGGATGCTTCTGCAATCCAAAAATATTTTTTGAAAATGCAAAATGAGAATTCTAATTTCTTCTACATAATGGATTTAGATGAAGAAGGTCGATTAAAGAATGTTTTATGGGTGGATGCAAGAAGTAGGGCTGCATTTAAAGAGTTCGGTGATGTTGTGACATTCGACACTACATATTTGACCAACAAGTATGATATGCCGTTTGGTGCTTTTGTTGGTGTTGATCATCATGGTCATTCGATACTGTTAGGTTGTGGGTTAATCTCCAACGAGGACACAAAGACATTTGTATGGCTTTTTCAATCTTGGCTTGCATGTATGTTGAATTGCGCTCCTAAAGCAATAATCACTGATCAAGATAAGGCAATGCAAAATGCAATTGAGATTGTGTTCCCTGGTACACGACATAGATGGTGTTTGTGGCATATAATGAAGAAATTGCCTGAAAAACTTAGAGGTTATAGTCAATATGAACAGATTAAGTTTTCTTTGCAAAATGCCGTGTATGATTCATTGACATGTGAGGAGTTTGAAGAACGTTGGAATAGGTACATTGATAAATACAACCTTCACGACAATAATTGGTTGCTTGGATTGTATAATGAAAGACGACGTTGGGTGCCGGCTTTTGTAAAAGATACTTTTTGGGCAGGTATGTCTACTACTCAACGCAGTGAAAGTATGCATGCATTCTTTGATGGATATGTTAATTCAAAAACCACTTTAAAACAGTTTGTGGAACAATATGAGAATGCATTGCGTGATAAAGTGGAAAAAGAAAGGGAGGCTGATTTTAAATCTTTCAAATCATGGATCCCTTGCATAACCACTTATGCTATGGAGAAACAATTCCGAGATACATATACCACTGCAAAATTCAAAGAGTTTCAACAAGAGCTAGTTGCCAAGGTCTATTGTGATTTATCTTATTTCAAAGAGATTGGTTCCTATATGGAATCTATAATAGAAGAAGATGTTTTGGTTGGAGAGACTCAACGTCGTGTTCCTTTTGTGGTTTGCTTTGATGAAGCAACTTGTGATGTTCGTTGCAATTGTCGATTGTTTGAGTTTAGAGGAATTTTATGTCGACATGCAATTGTGGTATTGATTCGTAAGCAAATTTCTCATGTACCAGAAAAGTACGTTTTAAGACGGTGGAGGAAAAATATAAATAGACACCATACCAAGGTGAAGATAAGTTATAATAGTTGGAGCACTAATCTTGATGAACAACGATTTGATGAGTTGTCTAATTTATTCAGTGTTGTAGCAGATTTGGCATCAAGCAATGAGGATGACTGTAATATGGTGAAAGAAATGATCAATGATATGAAGAACAAATTGATGTCAAATAAAAGTTTCGGGATTGATAAAAGACCAAACATGTCAGGTAATAGTAGAATGATTTGTGAAGGTGGTGATGATACTTTGAAAGAAGGGAGTAGTAATATTCTTACTCCATGGGCTGTTCGCAGCAAAGGTCGTCCCCCATTCAAAAGAAAACAATCAAAGGTTGAAAAAATTGTTCGTAAAGTAAAAGGGAAGAAATTGCGACAACAAGAAGTTGCTATGAGTTTGAATCCTAGTCTCACACTTGGATTTAATCAAGCAACTCAGGTATGCAATCCATTTATGTTTCTTTGTCTAAGTTGATGTTTACATGTGAATTGTAGAAATGTATGCACCCAAAGATTGTTATTTTAGAATAACATGTGGTTGAGTTCTTGTTGTATGTTGCACAGGGATCAAAAGAACTTGAGTTTTAGGAAGTTGGATGCTCATGTTCATCAACGGAAGGGCAGCAGCTCCAGGTGCTTATGATTCTTTAGTTTTCTTATAAAAATCATGTATCAAAATGATTGTGTATTTATTTAACTGCTTGTGTGTGGTTTCATTGTTGCTTGCCATATTTTTGCTCCCTTAATGTGGTAGGTTAAGATTGGTGCCTGCAAATGCTAGTGATGTGAATGAGTTGTTCATGGATAATGCATTGATAAATGATGCATGTCTTGGTTCGGGAGCACTAGAATTAACTTTCTAATATTGTATTAAGATGTTTATTAGCTGTATTATTTATTTTTATTTTTTTGTAGCAGGTCTCCAACATTCAACATTAATTTCAGGGGAGACTATTGGGTTGGTGCAGGATTTTCTGGTGCTACAGCTTCGTTTTTGTTCTTTGCAATATTGGAAATTTACAGATTTTTGGAGTTAGTATAGTTTTTTGTGTGTTGGATCTGCTCTTGAGGTGTTCTGGTGCTACAACTTTGTTTTTGTTCTTTGCAGTATTTGGGTATGTTGGTTGTTGTGTGGTGGGTGGCGTTGGTGCATGGCCAAACAAATGATTCTGGAGAGTTTTGTTTGGAGATGCAGCAGCAGAAAACTGCATTTTTGCAGTTCCCAGAAGTAAGTTTGGAGCTGTGCAGTGCAGTGTTTTGTTAAAAAGATTGGTTGTTTGTGCAGTGTGTTCTGGAGTTGCAACTTCAATGCTGCATTTTGCTGGCTATTAGTGCAGTGTTTTTGGGGCATAATCTTTGTATAGATGATCTTGCAATCTTTTTGTGATATGTAAATACTAATCCATATTTGCAAGAAACAACAAAAAATCCAGTATATGTATATACACATAATTATATTCATAATAAGTTACTTTTTATTTTTTTTGGGTAAACCCAATAATTTTATACAAGAATAAAAGAATTACAACTTGGGAAAGGGGACTCCCCTTTAGAACTAAGAACCTTGGGCATTCCCAAGGGGCAAAACTACAAAAGCTATACAAGCTAGAAGGAAATCTCAAAAACAAAAAAGGCACAAACAACATGGACCACACAAGCTGTAACAGACACCTGAAGACTGCACACAGCACCAAAGGTAGAGAACAATTGCAGCAGCTTCAAAAACTTCACACACGCACAAGCTACACCAGTTGCAAAATCTCCCAGAAAGAGCAAACAGAAACTGAAAAAACTGTTGCATCTTCGACCAAGCTATAGCACTTCCTCAGCAACAACACAATTACAGCATAATCCTCCAAAATACTGCATTACCCGCCAAAAATCATGTAACCAACAACCAAAAGCTGCACAAACTGCAGAAAACTCCCAACTGCAAACACACACTGGATAGCCTATACAAACTGCAACAACCTTCTACAAATTGCGCACACTGCATTACCCACCACAAATCCTGTAACCAACAACCAAAAGCCCCACAAACTGTAGAAAACTCCCATCAGCAAACACACATTGGACAGCCTATACAAACTGCAACAACCTTCTAGAAATTGCACACACTGCAAAAAGCAACATCTCTCAAACCTGGACAAACTACCCGAAATGCAACAATTTCCTAGAACCTGCAAAAATTGCAAAAATGCAGTTTAGCTAGAGCTGGAGTTTAGACAACAACCAATCAAACAAGCAAACCATATATTAATATTGGCTTATAAAAGCTAAAAGCAAAAAAGCTCCGCAGAATTCCTATTTTTTTTCCCTCTGTTCTTAGACACTGAAAGGATTTGGGGCTAGTGGTAAAATGAATAATTCTGTGAAGTATATGAAATAAATGCTTAATCATAACATTTAATAACATAATCAACAAATAAAAATAATCAGCAAGCTGACAAGCCAGAAGCTCATGGAAAATACAATCGTAATAGTATTGACTTATCAGTGCAGTACTCCCTTCTAGAACTTTCAATGTCTTAGACAAGGCATTACAGATAGCCTCTTCTTCTGAAATGACAAAAGTTACTTCTAAATCTGAATAAACCTGGAAACAAGTGTCCAGATACCGTTAAAAATGACTTCTCAGAATTAAAAAGCTGAAAGACAAATTACGAGAATGAATCTTGAAATTCATCTTACGGCTACACAGCTGGATCAGACAAATATGAATCTTCCTCTTAAAATGAAGACAATTAAATACCTGGTTTTTCAGAAGACCGCATACAATTGCAGCATGGGAAGGCAAAGAATTTCCTGAAAGATATTTTAGGACCCCGATGGAACTTGGGAGGCTGGACAGTTCAAAGTGATCAGAGATGTCCAAGAAAAGACGAGATCCAGTTTCTCTTGTGACATCCAAGAGGTGTACAAAAGTTGAACTGGTAACAACCTCAAAATTAGCAATTCCAGAAACAATAATGTTAGATTCTTGAATAGATAAAAAGGAAGTAGAATTTCACATCAGTTTGAAGGTCTAACGTAATTGACTGCCTGAGAATTGTAGATATCATACAAATTAATTTTTGCACAAAGATAAGTGATGGTATCAAACCGATATTTTGCCAAGCTAATAGTCCCATCCAATACTAGCTGACTAAGATTTTAAATATTTATTCCAATTCTATTTGACAAGCAGTTTACAACTGTATATGACTGTCAATATATATATATATATTTGAAATGAAAATCAACTTATACAATATATCCAAACCTTAACCTGTCTCAAAATTAGCAAATTCCAGGAACTACCACCTGAGGCTTCAGCTTCTTTATAAGCTCCACCATCAAATCTGACTAAGCTGGTGCTTCAATTACTGTGAGTACATCAAATCTAACTGAGGCGAGGCGAGTCATGGCAGCATCTGGCGAGGCGTGGAAACAACGATTGCAGTTGGTTTGGCGAGACGCGGTGGCTTTTGGCGAGGCGTGGAAACGACGGGAAGTCTTTGGTTTGTCAGCATCTGGTGAGGCGTCGCGGCATCTGGCGAGGCGTGGCACAACAACGTTTGGCGAGACATGGAAAAGAAGATTCAGCTTTGGTTTGTCGGCGTCACAGTGTGTAATGAATTTGGAATGGGATTTGGGAAATTTTTGGGAAATTTTGAGACATTGACTGTGAGATGAGAGGTAGAGAATGAGGGGCTTTGCATTGCAGAATGAATTTGATTTAGGGAGTCTGATTCAGGAAGTGAAATTTGAAAAAAAAAATATATATAATTTTTAGGAAAACTGATGTGGCAATTAAGTGATGTGGCAGGTGAGGTGTCATTTGCCACATCAGTTAGCACTTAGGGTTGTACAATCTCATTAGTGCAGATAGCAATGCTCAAATTGCAAACCCAACATATTCTCTTTTTCCAAAGCTTACATTTTACCCCCCGAAAACACACACAAAAAAGTTTTATAGAAAACCCCATAAAACATGGGGTATTACATCTTCCCCTTAAAGAAATTTCATCCTCGAATTTTACACACATGGAGAAATCTCACATTTCCATATTACTCCAATACAAAGGATAATTCTTGTAATAAGCACTTATGGTTTAGAAACATTTTATTCGGTTCTTCTTCATTGACACTTGACATGGGCATATATTCTCTACAAAAGGTTATGGGCACACCATGCTTCTGCTACGTCACTCTGATTGTCTCATCCAAAACTTACCTCATTCATAATCAAGACTAACGCTTGGAACCCATAAATATAGGTGATGCAATAAGTCTTTTCACTATCTCACCAACGAGGGTAGCCACCACTAAATTACGCTTTAAAGGTTCTAAAACTCGACCAACAAACTCTGCAATTGCATATGATATGTACGAATAAGTGGATCCATGATTAATCAAAGTAAGGGCCTTATGGCCAAAAATAGATAACGTATTAGTTACAGCCTCTAGCGTAGCCGAGGCCTCTTGCTGTGTCAAGGCAAAAACTCAAGTTTAAGTATAGTAACCATAATAGGAATAGTGTTCAAAATAAGAATAGTTTTGGAAATAAGAATAGTAACCAGAATAAGAATTGTGGTCGGAATGAGCATAGTAACAAGACAAGAATTGTTATGCCTCAAAAGGCAAGCCTATGTCAGCACAATTAATGTCTCTTTGTACCAGTTGTCAAGCCCATATCTCCAAAGATATTCTCACCAACTTTATCTCATTTCAAAGAGATGAATAGACGAGAGCCTTCCATGTGTCAAGGTAGTTTGCAAAAGCTCTCATTGCATTGAGTGCAAATGTGAATAAATGGATTTTCTCTTCCCGAAGAAGAGAGGCTGGTGGCTGGGCTGAGATTTAGCTTCAATTCTTTCTCTCTGTAAAAACACTGTATTTCTTCATCTTTGTATGTCTTACGGGCAAATTCATAGAAATAGTGAGAGATCAAATAAAATAACAGTGGATGTAGGAGTCGCTTGTTGCATCCGAACCACTATAAAAACCCCTNCAAGAATGTTGGTGCAGATCTTGTAAAGCAGGTCGCGAGTGCAACTAATACAGCCGCTGGAGATGGTAATTTCTTCTTACTGTTTCTTGACTTTATTTTGGTAACCTACTAGAATTTTTCATGGATTCATATGATTCTAGATGATGAGTTGGGTTGAGTTATTTTTGGTTGGCAGATTGGAAAAGCAAAGCAACTTAAGAAAAAACATTACAAAACCACAAGAAATCCGCAACTTTAAGTTGCTTGGGTTTTGCTTTCCTTTTTGAATTGAGTCTTTGAGTAACGTCCTGATTTTAACCTTCTTGAAGTTTACATGCACGAGTCAACTTGGAATGGCAGTCATTTCTCTGGCTCTGATGACAGTCGTACTCTAAGAGATTCTACGCATGCATGACTAGAAGAAAACTAGTATTTGTACAACTAGCCATCAACTTTAAATGTTGGAAGCACAAACTTGAGTATTGTTTGGTCCTATCAATTTCAGTGGTAATATGATGATACTATGAAAGCCTTGGTGTCTAGACTCTAGTATGAACTAACAGCCTGTAGAGGAGACATAATTTGTTTCAATATGGGTCCTTTCACATCACTTAAGTAGTTCTTATCGCTGGAGATTTGCTACTTATCTCCTTTGCAGCTACAACTTGTGCAACTGTCCTAACCCAGACAATACTAACAGAAGGCTACAACTCTGTAGTTGCTGGTGTAAATGTGATGGATTTACGCAGTGGTATTAACATGGCAGTTGATGCAGTCATATCTGACTTAAAAGTCAAAGCGCAAATGATTAGTACCCCAAAAGAGATTACACAAGTAGTGGAATTTCTTTAAAAAAGTTACGTATAAGTTGTGTATGGTGAGAAGCATCGAGCTACTATATAATTATAAGAAGTCTTACCTAGTCTAGAGTAGGAGACATTGATGATTTTTTAGTGTCCCAAAATCTCTAACATCTTTTTGTAAATGTGGTAAATGGTTGTAGCCTAGCAATGATTCTATTATCTTGTGTTTCGTTTAGATAATTATAGCAAGATGAAGTGAACATAGGAGCAAATAGAGTTTTTAGAAACTATGCTAAAGATATATCTGTCCTGATAAATTGAAAAGTGTTAATTATCCGTATTTGCTTCTAGGTTTAAAAATCATTCTTTTTTAAACTTGCTTTTTTGAATTTGCTATGAATAGGTTGCCACTATCTCTGCAAATGGTGAACTTGAGATTGGAGAATTGATAGCAAGAGCAATAGAAAAAGTTGGAAAGGAAGGAGTGATTACTGTTGCTGTAAGAACTTTTATTCCTTTAACTATATTATACCATTTAACTTTTACAAATAGGTCAAGCTTATGCATTAATATGCAAATTTCATAGGATGGAAATACTTTGGATAACGTATTGGAAGTGGTGGAGGGAATGAAGCTCGGACGAGGCTATGTATCTCCATATTTTATTACTGATCCAAAGACAGAATTGTGTAAGTTTCAGATCTTTGTCATTCTAAATGATGATTTTTTACTTTCATCAAAGGATTTCTTGCTGTATTGTGGTAAAATGAGGTTTCCATTATAGGTATGTGTGTTGGAAACTATGTATATATATAGTGTAAAGGGTATATTTGTAATTGTTGAGTGTGTATGTGTTTGAGTTAGGTTGTACTGTTGAAATATAAGAAATATAGAAAAGAACATGGTATCAGAGCTCTGGACGCGTAAACCCTAAACCCATTTGCTTGTTTTTGTTTTTCGGCGACGTCTGACCTTGCCTCTCTGTTTCGACGACGTCTGAGTTTGTTCTTCCCTCTGTTTCTGTTTTTCGGCGACGTCTGACCTTGCCTCTCTGTTCCGACGACGTCTGAGTTTGTTCTTCCCTCTGTTTCTGTTTTTGGGCAACCAGCGATCTCTGGTGACGTCTTTGTCCTTAGCCTCTTTGTTTCCGGCGACGTCTGAGTCTGTTCTTCCCTCTGTTTTTGTTTTTCGGCGACCTTTGTTATCTCCGACGACCTTGTTTCTCTTTTTTCGGCGAGTGCTGATTCTGTTCCAGTCTCTCTTCTCTGTTGTTGGTTTGGTGCAGTAAATCATTTCTCTCTTCTCTGTTGTTGGTTTGGTGCAGTAAATCATTTCTTTTAAGTCAAAATGGGAATGCTTTGAGACATGCTTTGATCAGAATATTCTGAGGAACCTCAAGTTGAAGGAAGGTAAAGCTGTATCTATACAACAAAAGTCCACAGGTTTGATCATTTGGTAAGCCACTCGTAATCCTCTATACTTTTGTGTTGGCTTGGAGTTGGAAAATGTGATACCAGCGCTGTTGTGAATTAAGCCAACGTGGGGTTGTTGTAAATCATTTTTGGCTATCCTTTTGTGTTGGCTTGGAGTTGGTGTGATACCAGAGTTGTTGTGAATCTTGGTTGTTTGAGTTGTTGTGTTTGCTTAGGTTGTTTGGTGTTGAGATTGTTGTGAATCTGTGGAGTTAAGAGTTATTTGTTGGACAATATGACAGAGGACGGTAAGATGATGGTGACTGAAATTGTCACTTCCTCCACCAAAATTACTGATCGGAAATTATTGGGAAAAAGGAATTATATTCAATGGAAGCGGATTATCCGACGATATGTGTCTAGCATTGATATGGAAGACCATTTAATCGAGGATCCACTTGAGGAAACAGAAAATGATAATAAAACTCGAAAAAAATGGCTCATGGATGATGATATACTCTTCAATCAGATTCAGAACACTCTCAATTCGTCCGTGGATGATGTGATTGGATACTGTGATACAGTCAAGGAGTTATGGGAATACCTAGAGTTCTTGTATGTTGGTAAACAAGACCTATCTCATGCCCATGAATTGTTATTGAAGATCTATCGAGCAAATATGCAAGAGAAGACGTTGCTCGAATATTATACAGAGATAAAACAAGCCTTTGAAGAAAAAATGGCTATGTTTCCTGACCCTACTGATGTGAAGATGATGCAAGCACAAGAAGAACAAGTGGTAGTGCAATGTTTTCTGGCTGGGTTGAGACCGGAATATGAGATAGCTCGTACACAACTTCTTACCGATGAGACTTCCCTCTCTTACGGATGTCTTTGCTCAACTTCTCAAAGTTAGTAAGGGGGAAGATCGAGGAGTGTCTAAGGACAAAGAAACCCTTAAGGATCCTAATGTTGATCATGCGGCCTTAGCTAGCATGAAGTCTGGTGATGGCAAAGGTAACAAAGGGACAAGTCGTGATACCAGGAACAATTGTGGTAATGGCCCTCGTACTTGCTTTCACTATGGTGCTGAGGGTCACGTAAAAAAAAAATTGTTGGAAACTCCATGGCAAGCCATTGAATATGCAAGACACTCAGAAGTTTGCTCATGTTGTAACTCAAGATGGTCTCTTACCCACGCCATCACAAGTTACTATCTCTGCAGCAGAATATGCTCGTCTCACTCAGAATTCTTGCTCCCAGTCATCCATCCCATCGACTACCACTACATTAACCCAGTTAGGTAATCCTACAGCCTGTTTGTCCATTTCTAGTAGTAACTGGGTCATTGATTCTAGTGCTACCCACCATATGACAGGCGATACAGGTATTCTCTTTTCATTTACACCTTCTCCCAATTTGTCTTCGATTACCTTAGCTAACGGGTCTACTGCACCTACTGTTGGATGTGGTACTGCCCATCTCAACAAATCTGTCTTTTTCCTCTGTCTTGTGCCTTCCTCATTTTTCCTTTAATCTTTTATAAGTTAGTCAAATTACTAATGCATTCAATTGTATATTTCAAGATCTTGGGACTAGGCGGATTATTGGTAGGGGCCATGTATCAGGTGGCCTATATATGCTTGATGATGTCTCCACTCCTGTCTCTCAACCTGTTGCGTGTACTAGTGATTCATCTTTACCCATATTACATGGTCGCCTTGGTCGTCCTCCCTTTCCCATTTTGAAAAGGCTGTGTCCTAGTGTAGGGTCAATGTCACACCTTGAGCGTGAGGCGTGTCAGTTTGGAAAACACCATAGAGTGTCCTATAGCCCTAGGATAAACAAAAGAGCCACAACCCCTTTTGATGTTATACACTCTGATGTTTGGGGTCTCTGCCCTATGTTGTCTAAGTTTGGATATTGATATTTTGTTATTTTTGTGGATGATTTTTCACGTTTAAATTGGTGGTTGTACTTAATGAAAAATCGTTTTGAATTATTCTTTATATTTTGTACCTTTTATGTTGAAATACAAAATCAATTTATTTCATCTATTAAAATTCTCAGAAGTGATAATGCCAAAGAATACTTTTCTGTCCCTTTCTGTCTATTAGAGGTATTATTCATCAGTCATCATGTGTTTATACACCTCAGCAAAATGGAGTTGCTGAACGCAAAAATCGTCATTTATTAGGAGTAGATCGTACTCTCCTTTTTCACATGAAAGTCTCTACAGAATTTTGGGCGGATGCTATCTCTATAGCATGTCACTTGATCAATCGCATGCCTTCTTCTATTTTGGGTGGTCAAATCCCGTTCTCCATCCTTTTTCCATCACAGCCTTTATTCTCTCTTCCTCCTAAAGTGTTTGGGTGCACGTGCTTTGTTCAAGATGTTAGACTTCATGCATCCAAATTTGAACCTAGGTCCCTCAAGTGAATATTCTTGGGTTATTCCCGATATCAGAAGGGTTATCGCTGTTTTTCTCCTCTCCTAGGTAAGTACTTTATCTCAGCTGATGTTTCCTTTTTTGAAACCATTCCATATGTTGAGTCCTCCACTTCATCTACTTCTTTTGAAGCACCCCTTGATGATTTTCTTGTTTACAATATTACCCATCATAGTCCTCTACCATCTCGTCCTCTTATCACCTAGGTCTACTCTCGCAAAGTTCACCAACACCATGTGACACCTGCAGCAACATCTGATCCACTGCCTTGTTCCGGATCCGGTTCCTCCTTCCTCTGACCATGATCATGATCTTCCCATTGCTCTTCGTAAAGGTAAGTGCTCTTGTACCTATTATATCTCCTCATTTGTTTTCTATCACTTTTTGTTTTCATCTTCCAAGTCTTTTATTGCCACTTTAGACTTTGTGTCTGTTCCCAACTCTGTGTCTGAAGCAATTGCTCATAATGGGTGGCGAAGGGCTATGGAAGAAGAGATGTTGGCTCTAGAACATAATGATACATGGGTTCTAATGGAGTTGCCTGAAAATAAAAAGGCTATTGGGTGCAAATGGGTTTTCACAGTGAAGGCTAATCCGATGGGATTGTGGCTCGGTTGAAAGCTCGGTTGGTTGCTAAAGGTTATGCCTAGACGTATGGTTTGATTATTCTGAGACATTCTCCCCAGTGGCTAAAATGACTTGTGTCCGGCTATTCATCTCTCTTATAGCTTCATATTGTTGGCCTCTTCACCAACTTGATGTAAAAAATGCCTTTTTACATGGTGATCTTCTTGAAGAGGTTTACATTGAGCAACCTCCGGGGTTTGTTGCTGAGGGGGAGTCAGGAAAGGTATGCAAACTGAGGAAATCTTTATATGGCTTAAAGCAATCTCCACGGGCGTGGTTTGGGAGGTTTAGCGAAGTGGTGACTCAGTTTGGTTTACATAAGAGTGTTTATGATCACTCTGTCTTTTATAAGCAATCTAGTTTTGGCATCATTCTTTTGGTTGTTTATGTTGATGACATTGTAATCACTGACAGTGATGATGTTGGCGTTCAGAGTTTGAAAAACTTTTTGGCTTCCAAATTTTCACACAAAAGACTTGGGCACTGTAAGGTATTTTCTGGGAGTCGAGGTTTCTCGGAGTAAGAAAGGGATTTTTTTGTCTCAACGCAAGTATGTGTTAGATGTGATGACCGAAATGGGTCTAAGTGAGGCTAAGCCTTGTGACACTCTTATGGTTCCTAATGTGAGATTGAATGCTGAGGATAGAGAGATGTTTGGTGATCCAGAGAGGTACAGATGGATAGTTGGAAAGTTAAATTACCTTACAGTAACCCGTCCAGATATTGCGTTTTCAGTGAGTGTGGTGAGTTAGTTTATGTCATCTCCTAGGAGATCTCATTAGGATGCGGTCCTCCATATTTTGAAGCATCTAAAAGGAGCCCCTGGACGTGGGATTCTTTATAGTGATCATGGTCATAATAAGGTAGAAGGTTTTTCAGGTGTAGATTGGGCAGGATCCTCTGTGGATAGACGGTCTGTGACTGGGTTTTGTGTTTTTGTTGGAGGAAATCTTATTTCTTGGAAAAGTAAGAAGCAACCGGTTGTAGCTAGGTCAAGCGCAGAGTCTGAGTATTGGGTTATGGCACAAGTTATGTGTGAGCTCATATGGACAAGACATCTTCTTAGAGAAATTGGGTTTGGTGACCCAGGGACTATGGACTTGTGGTGTGACAACCAAGCAGCCATACATATAGCAAAAAATCCAGTCTTTCACGAGAGGACTAAGCATATAGAAGTGGATTGTCACTTTGTACAAGAGAAACTTGAACAAAAGTTAATTGCTACTAATCATGTTAGAACAGGGGAACAACTAGCTGACATCTTCACGAAGTCTCTAGTTGGTAAAAGGGTAACCTATATTTGTAACAAGCTGGGCATGATAGATATATATGCTCCAACTTGAGGGGGAGTGTTGGAAACTATGTATATAGATAGTGTAAAGGGTATATTTGTAATTGTTGAGTGTGTATATATATTTGAGTTAGGTTGTATTGTTGAAACACAAGAAATATAGAAAAGAGCAATGTGCTGATAATTTCTTGTTAAATTGTTCTGTTTCTTTTCAAGTTTATAAGATTGCTACTTCTACCCTTGGTTTCGTTTGAGGTTTTACTAGTTATGACTACTACAAGAAGAATTCCATTTAACACCATAAAATTTTCTTTTACATAAAAGTAAAAGCTGAAATATTAAATGTTGTTATTCAAATGTTGCAGGAACTTGAAAATCCCTACATTCTCATTCATTTCAAGAAGATATTAGACATGAACTCACTTGTGAGAATATTGGAGCTGGCTCTAAATGTAATTAACTTTTTTTCTCATCTTTTTTATGATGAATGGTAGGTAAATTATCAATATATTCATGGAAGAATTCTCATTTCTTTCTTCTTTTGCTGTTTGATCAAAAACTGAAAAACAGAGAACTCCTTGTTGTGGCTGAGGATGTGGAAAGTGATGCACTAGCTACGTTCATTCTCAACAAGCTTCATGCTGGTGTTAAGGTGATTAATTGGCTTTTCTTTGAAGTTACTTATATAGGCATACAACATTAGATGGTGCAAAATGTTATTGTTTGAAGATTTCGACAGACTGAAATGCTATCAACGTGTTTGTATATGTACACACTCATAGCCACAACCAGATGATGTTATTTTGTGTTCAAGAATATATTTGCCAGTGCACACAGTATTGTTATCAATGTTTTAATAAATTGCATATGTGAATACTAAAAATCACAAACAATCTCTTGCCTAATGTTGGTAATGCCAATTGAAGGACATTTACTATTATACTGATGAATTTATGATTTTAGGTCTGTGTTATTAAAGCTCCTGGTTCTGGGGAGAACAGACGAACAAATCTAGATGATCTGCTATTCTAACTGGTGGAGAGGTGATAAGAGTTTTCCAATTTTCAATCCGTGTTTCCCCCTTCTAGTAGTGCTTATGATGACATGATTAACTATTTAATGTGTAGGTTATCTTTGAAGATCATGGTCTAACTCTCGATAAAGTCAAAGTAGAAATGCTTGGCACTACAAGAAAGGTTGGTATATAGGCCTATGGTGTGCTACAAGTGTTTTTTGTAATACAGCTGACACAGTTTATACCAGGTCACTGTCTTTGTTGATGACACTATCATTCTGTATGGTGGTGGGGATATGAAGTTGATCGAAGAGAGATGCGAGCAGGTACACTGGTGGTTGCTTATGTTTCCTTTGTTGATTTTTTCCTTAAAAGCTTTTTCTTCAGTCAAATAAATAGAACATTTTATTCTTCACTCAATTAGCAAATATAGATTCTATGAGAGACAATTATCTTTATGGAAGTTACACTCGCTTTATAATATTTTACAGCTGGTGGTTGCTATGCCATTATTGTTGCTGCTAATAAAGCGATATTCTAAATACTGGGCATATTATTTTGTCATTAATTGTGCAAGCCTTACTGGCGGCATAACAGTAAGGGGTTAAATTTGTTGTATACTTTGCTCTTTCAATTGTAATATCATAGCCACTAACTTTTTATTATCAAAATAAATTAGGTTTTAACCTGAAGGATAATACTCTGTTGTATTATAGTCTCTTTATCTAGTTCTTTGAATTTTGTGAATATTTCAATCTTAAGAATTTCCTAACCAAGCTACTGGCTGATTTGTTAGTTTTGTATTATATTCTGCCAAGGAGTCTGTGTAGCATATTTTTCTTCTTTATTCTTTCTCTGAGTCTAATTGAAGTAGATATTGGTCTTTGAAGATACTCCGCTTCCAAAGTTAATATTGCTAGAATCGAAGAGTTCATTGACTGATACTACGATGAAATCTTATATTAAAAAAAATAAGAATCATGAATGTTATCATAGCCACTAGCTTTTTATTATCAAAATAAATTAGGTTTTAACCTGAAGGATAATACTCTTTTGTATTATACTCTCTTTAACTAGTTCTTTGAATTCTGTGAATATATCAGTCTTAAGAATTTCCTAGCCAAGCTACTGGCTGGTTTTGTTAGTTTTGAGTTATATTCTGCCAAGGAGTTAGTTTTCTAGAATAAGAATATACATAATGATGTCTGGTTATTGCTTATGAGGTAGTGGAACGGTATTTGTTGTTGAATGATAATTAATAAAAGCTTGTGGTTAATGGAGGCTAACTGTTTGTTTGTTTGTATTGAGAACATTATTTTTTAATTTACTTATTCTTTTTGCAGGATACATCATCTGCTGTTGCACGAGCTGGTCCTGGATCATCTGCATCAACCAGCTCTCAGTCCTTAAATAATTCTTCAAGTTCTACAGTGGCTGCATCTTCAACTAGTAAAGTTGGTCCAAGTTCATGGATGCACACTGTCTCATCTTTTACCGTTCCACCAGGATTATCTGGAGCTCCAGGGACACTAGGCCGTCTTGGAGTAGTGCCATCCCCACTGGAGAATGCTTCATCAGCAATTATGGATTCAAACTCTTCTGCAGTATGGAGACCCTGTCTGTCAACTGCTCCTGCTCCATCAAACCAAGCAATTCAGCATCCAATATACCCTACCCATCCATCCTTACCTCCTATAAGTGGTTCCTCTCAGAGACACTGGTTGCAGCACCCAAAGACGGGTGTCATGCCTAGGCCGCCTTTTTCGTCATATCCTGCTGCTTATCCTACTCCCTTTCTTTTGCTGACACGTGGCATACCTCATCTTTCTGTTGCATCAAATGATTCTTTACCTCCTGGTGTTTCTTCTACGGAAAATGTTGGTGCAACTCCCACATTTTCTGCTGCTTCGGGGCAACAAGTGGTAGGCGCTTCAGCAATGCAGACAGAACCACCTTCAGGAATTGGTACGCTCAGGGTTTATGCTAGATTACTGATCAGCTAGCAATGTAAGAGCTGTTTCTCCTTCATTATTGTTACCTGCAGTCAATTTTTGCCTCGTCAATCTTTCATGGCTTTGTAGATAACAGGGAACGTGTACATGAGTTCAACGCAAAGGAGGGATCTGCTGTCAATGAACAATTAGTGCATGGACAGCCCACAAGACTGATACAGGGTTTGTCTACTATTATAATGCTGAAACAGGAGAATCAACTTATAACAAATCTGCTGGCTTTAAGGGGGAGGTATATGTAATTATTACTTATGGTCACTTGTTGATAAGTTGTTAGAGCACTATGCATGTTATTTTGTTTATATATTCTTGTGCAAAGCATACTTCTGTTACTAAATTTTCTATAACCTCCAAAATGTCAATGGAATAGCTTTGAGGTAAAATTCTATTGGTGAAACATTTGATTAGATTGACCTCTTTTCTGAATTTTTTTTTTTTTTTTGGTCCAGTCCATATAATTGTACATGTTTTAATTTTCCCACCCGAAACCACCCTGCTGTAATATGAAAGAAGTCATGAGTAATTTGGTGCACAAATAATGGTAGCACGCTGGTTTAGAACTGCAAAAAAGGCGTAGGATATACTGCTGGAAGATTCTGAAAAATACAGGGCTTAGCATTTCTGGCACTGCCCAAAATTCTTGCTGGCGTATTACTCCAAATATATGGACTGGGTAACATATTCTGTTTGAGGAATTATTATTTTCTTGAACTCTTAAGATGCTTTCTGGCATCCTACCATTGGAGTTTTATTGAAGTATAAAACTAGTGTTCATTGACCTCTCAGCTGGTGGTGTTTTGCTTCCCTTTTAGCTATCATTTATGGCTTCAATTAGCCTTTTCTTGAGCTGTTGAATGTGTGTCTAATCATGTGTCGTATTTTGTTTTAACATTGTGCAGGCTGACAAAGTTTCTGTGCAACCAACTCCAGCTTCAATGTAAGTTATTTAAATTTGGCAATATCTTACTAACAGTTTTGTCCTCAGAAAACAAAATGTTTTTTGAGTCATTTAATTTTTTGATTCAGTTTTCTGGATTCTTTTAAACAGAAAAATCAAAGTCGTACCGCGAAGGCATTTCATATTGGGAACAGAAAAACCTCCCAAAATTAAAATTACATAACACTTTAAAACTTTAAATAACACAAGTACAATAACATAATAACATATCAACCGTCAAGTTTCATCCTCCCAAAATTAAGTTTCAACCTCCCACGCTCCGGACTGCTTAGCCGGTTCATGTGTATTTCTATTTGATATCGACTCTCCCATATTAGGCATAACCTCAATGTCAATGTTTTCTCTAATTGATGACATTGTTTTTGCAAACATTTAAATTGTTTTATAATTACCATGTTAGAGATTTTCAAAGTAGTATAAAAATTATGGTTCAACTTTAAGCAACAATTGTACAGCAATTACAGCAAAAAGATGAAGTACAGAAAGCAAAGGTATCTACTACTAGTAGTAGATTGGAGAAGACAATAAATTTGGGTTAGAAAATAAGAACTTTATAAGGAAGAAAGCTTAAAAAGGGTGCAATAATTGCCTAAAAATCTTAAGTATTATCTCTTATCATTATAAATAAACATTAAGTAAAGTTAAGATCACATGGAGAGCAAGCAACCAAAATAAAGTCCAAATAAACCCAGCTACATAGCTTTTTCACATGCTTCAACAATTAAATTCTATTCCCTTTTTCAAATAAATATATCATATAGGTCTGCACTGCAACACAAATGGGAGAATCAACCCCCGCACGTACTTGTCCAGAGCATTATAACAACAATGTGAAGTAAATATAAGTGGGTCTAGTTCTCTTTTGATGAAATATTATCCAAGTTGACTTAGATAAACTGAATTACTTGAATAAATAAGCAGAATATGACATTTCTATTGAAGATTCCATTCCTAAATAAAGTATTTGGATATCTTAATTATCAAACTAAAGAAAGCATGTAGATGATATTATGCCATAAATTTTGTTAAGCTCAAAACAGTTCTGTGAAATTAATTCAAAACCAAATTACAAGAAATGAATACTCAACCATCAAAATTGAGATTAAAAAAAAAAAAAAATTACAAAAAAAATAAATCTTCATTTTAAGTTAATAATCAGTTAAAAGAACAGGAGAAGAAGCTCATAGAAGCTAGATACAAATTTGGTTTTATTATTTCAAGCATGCAATATCCAAAAAAATTCTAGAAGAAAATGATTGTGAACAAGTAAATAATCATTTCCATTCCCTCAAAAGTGCTCCAAAACTGAGGAGGCCACAACAGGGCTCAAGAGAACACTCTATGTGCACCAACTCTGCTTCTAAATTCCTACAAAAACGTACGCTATCCAGTATCCACCACATATACCAATATTGACCACATCATAACACCACAATCTCTCCATTCTTTGAATATGATCAGAATTCGTCCTTCAATGCCTATTGCCTACTCACTCTTTTAACTTTACTTCAAAAGAGATATACCAGTTCATGAGATAGCACATCAAACTTTAAAAAAAAAAAAAAAATCTCACGATCTGGAAATAAATAAGACTAAAAGAAAAACTGTAATATGCAAATATGCTGATAGAAATTCATGATGGTGACGATAATTGAAAACCCTAAATACAAAAAGTGGGGATTTTGAAATACCTAATTGGAGATATCTTGCGAACGTGAGAGTTGAGACGGTGAGATGGCGTTTAACGATTCAAATTGGGAGCCTCGGAGATTCAAGTCCCACGATTTGAACTGAGAGTGAGAGAGATGAGAGATTGACAGGCCACAGGCGCACTGGAGAGGAGAATGGAGATTGTCGATTTTTTCCCCCAATCCCTAAATTTTCTTATATATTTATAGGAAATGCAAAATATTAGAAAACCCCCCATCATTTATATTATATCAATTTAGTCTCGGTTCTCGGTTCTGGTTCCTTTGATTAGGAATCAAAACTAGAACCGCACAGTGTCGGTTACTATTATTTGGAACCGAAACCGACCTTGTTACGGCCAGTTCCAGGTAGGGCTGTATACGAGCCGAGCCGAACCGAACACTACGGTGTTCGAGCATGGCTCGTGAAAATTGAACGAGCTCGAGCTCGAGTTCGACGAGCTCTGAAAACTAGGCTTGAAGCTTGAGTTCGTTAAATATTTTGAGCTCGAATTCAGCTCGTGAACCGCTCGTTTATGAGTCCTCAATCCAAAGCAATCCTTCAAAATAGCCCTAATACAAAGCCAACCCGCTAATCATCACCAACAATCATCAGATCCAAAGCCAAATAGCCACAAATATATGACTCAAAATTCCATCGATTTTGAGAGATAGAAGAAAAGAGAAGAGGAGAGAAAAGAAAAGCAAAGAAAAGCAAAGAGGGAGAAGGAAAGAGATGGAAGAGCGAAGGAGAAGTAAGAAGAAAGGTGAAGAAGAAGAAGGAAAATGGAGGAGAAAAAAGACGAAGGAGAAAAAAGATGAAGAAAAGGGAAGGAGAAAGTGGCAGCGCTGGAGAAAGAAGATAGGGTTTAGGAAGTGGGATAATTTATATTGGATATAGTAAATTATAACCCCCTGATACTTAAAAAAATAGCACTTATACCCTTTCGAGCCATTCACGAGCCTATCGAGCCGAGTAGTGGGTGGTTCGTAGCTCGGCTCGAAAGGGTACTCAAGCCGCTCGAGCTCGAGCTCGGCTCGACTTCTGTCGAGCTGAACTTGGCTCGCTTACAGCCCTAGTTCCAGGTCGGAACCGAAACTAAAACCAGGGTACCCGTCGGTTCCGGTTCTACCCTAAAATTTTTCCCACCCCTAATATTGAATGCTTTAATGCTTCTACGAACAAAATTTAAATTGATTTGAGTCTAGAAGTTGAAGGTTGCCACCTCTTACTGAGATAACAGTGTAGGCTTACTATTCTTTTTTGAATTTATACTCGAGTGTTTCCTCTTGGTTCATGTTGTAACTACTGATAAGATATTATTGGACTTGGTCATGATAGGATGGCTCTAATGGTCTCATTGCAAAAGAAAGTGTAATCTTCAATATTGAGGAAGGAGCTACCAAAACTTCTTGCATTGTCTTCTAGTGTTTCTAACCATCAGTCTTTACAAAATATTTTTTTTGTGTTTGTTTCTCGAATTTACTCCTTGCGTTCTTCATTGTCCCATATTTATTGCAGTAAGATTAAATGCTTTCTTCTCTTGGAAAACTTAAAGAGCAAATAATATTTGTAAGGAGAAGTCAGGTTGACTCATGATAATCTTATTTTTCTCATTTTGAAAGAGGTTTGTGTGGAGATTTACGCACTTAATGACCTTCAGCCAAGATTCTTCCCCTAGAGTATTTAGTTCCATATGGACTTTGGTGTAATTTAGATGACTATTCACTGGAACGTTTGTCGAGTTGGGCCTTTGTTCAAGTTAAAGATAAATCTGCTTATTGGATTCATCACCTTGCTCTTTACTTATTGGATATCAATGCTCATAATGTTTTAATCATTAAATCTTCTTTCCTTTTCTAGGTAATATGACTGCGAAAGGCATGTAGCCATCCACACCTATTTCCTAGTATTGAGCCGGAACCATTTGCAGAAGGTGAACACTTGGTTCAGGTAGCCTTCTCATCTAGGTTTTTTAGACAAAGGATGATGAATGTGAAATTGTAATCTATCTACTGCTTCTGAGTCTTTGACTTGTATTTTCCTTCAGCCATATCATATTGTTCCTTTTCAACCAAAATGTTGTTTTTATGACTTCTTGATCGGGCTAGCAGCAAACTTGTTATTTTGGACCCACTACTTTGATTGTATGCTTCTAGGCATTATGTTCTTCTCTTTGCCCAGATGACCCATACGCTAGACATTTTACAGGTTTGCTTTTTGAATCTTAATAATGTTAAAAGTTTATGTCTTCAGCTCAAGTGTTGACGCTAGTTGATTTTGACAACTATAGGCACTACTTTTCACATGCAATGTAGGATTTTTTAGAGTTATGGACCTATGA